AGGACATATCGTTTTGCTGACCGATCAATCCATCCAGTTGTAGTTGCCAAGAGTACCTTGAAAGATGGCTAAATAGGATGAATTGAAATAGCAAAAAGTTGTTCCTAAAATCTGTCACATGTAGTCATTTTAGAAAGATTTAACGGTTGCAAAATGCAAAATAGTAATAGTAGTGACATTGGCATACAAATTGGACAGACAGAGGAAAGAAGTAGTAACTGAGAAAGTATGAATATCAAGTATGAAGATGGCTTTTAATTTAAATTTGCAAATGACAAGATGAATGCACATCTAAGATACCCAGTTCTATAGCGATTCTTTACTCCGATGAAACTATTGAATCCGTCAAAAACAAAATTTGATACTAACACGGTTTACTGAAGTAAGGTGAAAGGTTAAGTTCATGCTGGCACAGTTAAAGCTGAGAGAAAAAAATTATTCGGTTTCGTTTCTTCGCTGGAATTTTATTCCATTTAAATTATACAAATAGAGAGGATGCATAACAGGAGAGATGATAAGTAACAAAACGTGGAGCAAAATAAAAGACAAAAGGATGATGAGAATAAATAATATACTATAAACTTTAAAACAACAATCATATAATTCATTCACGAGTTTAGAGTATAAAGTAGTAACTCAGAAAAAAATTATTGTCATTGGTAAAATCTAACAACGAGAAGGTCAATCACAGAGAATAAAGAATTCATCCAAAATTAACAAGAAGAAATCTATTCATGTCAATAAGTCACTCGTAGATGTGGTAAATGAATACCTCATGAGCACATACATCTAATGTAATTACACGAGATTCTTTCCACGTATTGATCAAAGACAAGTATTTCTCCTTATAGAATGCAACACTAATATATCACTGGAATATTTAGTCTCACACAGAAGTGCCAGCTGATAAATTGATATGAGCTAAAGCTGACTAAAATCACGAGGTCCAAGAACACTGCGAGATGGTCCTTTGAGTGTTGATTCATCATCAGTCTTCATAATTGTTAGTGTATTAGTTCGTGTATCGATATCAAGATAACCAAGAAGGGAAGCTGCTACATCCTGTTCAACCTGATATTAAATAAAAATATTGATAAATACAGATAGGAATAGTCTGGATAAATCAACAGGTTTTCAACCAAAATTCCATGTGCAATGCATCACCAAATATGCTTTAATTAACAAGGCGCATAGATGAAGTGACTGCATGAACAGTAACAGGAGTTAATCACCCTAAAAAAACTTATACCATCAGAATAATATTACATACTTTGATTTCATCCAAAGACAATTTGTTTTCATCTGACATCAAAGTACAAGGAGACGAAGAAACTATTTCACTATCCGAGATGTCATCACTTGTAGATTCATTTAAGCTTAAGCAGCTTTGAGTCGGTTCCTCATCAGCCCATTCATATAATCTCCGCTTCCATACACGTACCTACAAGGCGCAAGATATACGAACTTCGAAGATTCCATAAAGAAAAAGAGCTCCAGTAAAAATACAAAGTAAATTTTAAAAACAACCTGTTTATCCCACGATCTACGTGAGTACGAGATATATTTGTTAGGAGTTTTTGGCATATCTTTCGTCCGAGCATGTCGCGGTACTTTCGCAAGATATTTCGCGTATACTGGCTTTCCCTTTGCTTTTTCGATTTCCTTAATAAAATAAAAATTACTTTCCTGTTTTCAATATCACATTTTTATATTTAGAGCAGTTTAACTCCAGCAATATAAAAAGTGTGGCAATTGCTAGAAAAATGACTACGAAAACGATACCTTTGAACGCCTCAGAAGAGTAATTTCATCTCTGCACCAACCAAGTTTTGGTTCTGACCAACCCTGCTTAATGTGTAACGTGGAAGCAATACTAGAAATACTTCCAGGCGAACTGTAATTATCATACCACTAGAATCTATCATCGTTTGTTAACAAGAAACACTAATCTTTAGAAATGAACAAAAAAAACAAGATTTGATAGCAAATAACGAACCTTTCTCTACTAGAACGTTTAACACCACTGAGAGGCAAATCTTTAGAGTCAAATTTCGAACTACTAGCTTCATAAACAGTCCTTTCCCTATGTACATCTTTTCTTCTTTTTTTCTGACATTTCGAAGATATTAGACCATCGTCATCATCAGTACTCGTCGTGGATAACGCTTGAACTTCTTGCACTTTATCTCGCTTAATAGCACGACGCTAAAAAGACAAAAATACATTGGGATTTTTCCTGAATGTTTTGTCGTCACAGCAGTTTTTCAAAATGTCTTTTGCTATGAACTACTCTCCGATGGAAAATTGCAGTTGGCATGATATAAGTTCAGAATTACCAGTCTTCCGGGAAGTTGAACATCACTTTTTAATGCCTGACTAGCCAACGCTTCTGTAAGCTCCACATTGCGTTTAAATCTGAAATCATGTAGCAGTGCAAAACCCTGTGCCCATGAAAGGAAGACAACAAAGAATGATAAAGTGGAAATTGCAAACAAAGATCGTCCTAGAACGCTTTCTTGAACACAGTAGAAATTTCTCTTAATGTTCACCTTTATGTTATTCTTTAATAACTAATTAATAATTAATGAGTATGTCTATTATGATCCAACAGTTATGAGTTAAATGGTATTCTTATTCCCTGTTGTTACATAATAAACTTAGGAGATGAATTAAGACATAGGAATGAGATTCTTTCTTAAAAAAGTCATTCATCCTTACCTATATTTCGTCTTTCGTTTCTTCTTCGATGCAATGGTTTTATTCCAATTCATATCTGACTGCTTAATAGTAGATGACAGATTTGAACACTCCTCGTCAGAACTTAAAACGATACAATCATCCTCTATCGATGGTGTTTTCGGTGCTATAACCTCTTCTCTGCTCTGTGATTGTGAGCCACTTCTTGATTTTGTTACTTCTTTTTCCATCAGATCAGCCCATGAGGTATTTCGCATCTCTTCGTATTCTTGCTGCTCAAAAAGAGCTTTCAACTACAAAAATCAACAAAAGTTTCATTGGCATGAATGCGAGATTTAAAAGGAATATTTCAAAGAATATTATCTTTGCAGAGAATTTAGCAGCAGGAAGCTTAATCATCTGAAACAACAATCACCATATTTTCTTTTTATTGACTAACACACTACGACTGGTTGTTACCATTGATTTAATAACAAAGCAGTGATAACAAATGATAGTGTTAAAATAAGAATGAGAACTTTAACTAACACTTTTTGATGTTTTGCTAACAACAGTTTCGCTTAACTCGACCTTGACCGCTGATTCATCCAGGTCACAGTCTCGGGTTCGTCTTTGAAATGGCTGAGATCTGACAATCTTTGAGCTTGAACCAACATCCATTATATCATCTATAGCCTCACTCGTGGATACCTGAGACTCCTCACCTTCCGGATTCATTCCAAACGAGTCTGTCTCTTCTGAGGAATGAATATATAAGTCTAACCTGAAAATTACAATGAAAAAAGAAAAAAATGCAACTGAAAGGAAACACGATCAATCGATAAAGGCTGCGCGCCTCTTTTCGCTCTTCAGTTTTCTGGTGACAGCCACCAGTCATGAAAACCGACTTTAGCGAGATGGAAGTGACATCAAGAAAGGTCAAGCTAGCAGAGGTCAGGCTATGAGGACATTAGAAGAAAGAGAAAGATGCCGCAGCAATATGATAAAGGTGTCTCCGTCGTAATATGGTGCGGTAATGACGCGCGCGCGGCAAATCTGATTTCAAATTGTTATCATACATAAATTTCGGGACATAGAGGGAACTCTGAAGATATGGAAGATTTAGACTAGTTTAGAGGTCAGGAGGACTGCTTGCCGGAAGCTGATCAACTGGAAAGCGCTTGTCTGTGTTATAAAGACAGAGGTTTTCTCTCCGGAACCACCTTCCCATCAAAGGGTAAAGACCGGATTGTAAAATGATTCACGGAATGCAGAAAGCCAATCGTAAGCATTGATCAAGTTAGATAAGCAAATGCATCCTGAACTGCACTGATGAACATTCAGTCAATCAATCAATCAATCAATCAATCAGCCATCAATCAATCATTCATCCTTCTGATATAGGTGCGGATAACTCATGAAAGATAAAATATCGATCTCAAATGCTTCACAACTCTTTCCTTCACTTTAAGCTTCTTCTCGTCACATTAAGTTAGTCGAGATTCCATCGACTAACTTAATGTGACATATATTTAATCTCAATTTCTCTAACCTCATCAATCGCTGGTGACACTGCTTCACGCTTCTCTTCAAAATCCATTCCTGCAGAAGAGAAATCGTCGTCCGTGACGTATTGGACCTCAATAGTGTGGATGACCTTTGTGTAACTGATGACCTTTGTATAACTTTTCACTCGGACATCACCGCAAACGCCAGCATTGGTGTTAATTAACCTCAATTTCAATCCTTTCCACTTTAAGCAACGAGACATCACACCAAGTACATTTTCTAGTATTTTCCTCTTTGCTAGTTTGCATTGTTAGTTTTAGTAATCCCAACTTAAGCTCACTTTCAAGTCTTTTACAATTCCGACAAAGTGACAGACACTCTGAATGTATGGTTGCAACCAGTGATAGATCTGTAGAGATTTGTTTACAAAGATTTATTCCTCGAGAATGCTCTAAATTCATGTATTGTCTCGAGCAGTTGCACATAACGAAATTCGTCCAATTTTTATTCACTATTTTAACAATTATCATTTGCATTAAACTGTTTGCGATTAAGCTTAAAAATTCCGTTCTCGCTGGGACTATGTTAATGGAAGTTGAACAATTTGAAATCATTAGGTCAGTTAATATTTTCTGGACAGAATTAGTGTGATCAACTGGACGTAGACAAAAGAAAAGCAAAAGTCAAGAAGAAGCAGTATTAAAATATGAGGTTGGGGTGAAAGTAAAGTTTATATTTGCTCTCTCTATATAGCTTCTCAGATTGCACTACTGATATGATCACTGTTATCACGCAATGATAACACGTCATCAAGTCTAAGTGATTACAACAGCTTTGTGCACACACGTACCGGTGCTTCTGTCAACAATGGCAGGCCACAGGTATTGTCGAACTGTACTGCTTCGAATGTTGGAGGAGACGATATGTCGCTGATGTCTGTTGGCATCGAACTGTCGACCCTGATATTCGATATACATCCTACAAGCAGACAGCTTCAAAATAACTTTCATTCTCTGAAAATGCAGGAGAAGTTAAATAGTGGCAAATAGTGTGCAATTCCGAGGAGAAATATACAAAATTGATTTCTTTCTCAGAGAATACATCTCTCTACTCTTCTTTTACATGCAATTTCAATCAGAGGATAAAGCTGCGAGCATTATTGTTGTGCGCAATTTGCAGAATGCAAAAATCAAAATTCAGCACCTTGGCGGCTTTCCATTCAATCCAACCACAAGACTCCATGTTATTGTCACACAGTCCAAAATAAATTTATTGAAAAAGGTGCAACTTCTCAAAGATGGAAAGTTACACAATGCATTTCGGATCTGTGACATTATTTGCTGAAATTGAAATCTTTCTAACAAAGTAATGCTAGTTAGCATAGATGAAAGCAAAAGTAAATCATGTTGAAAAGAGGACTGAATCGGTTCATTTCTTTCTTCTTGCTAATGTCATACGTCTAACTTTTGTGTACTGTTACCACGACCACTGACACGTCTATGTTTCACGTATAAAAGTATGACGTTGAAATACGTTACATATGAAGCATTGCATTTAACGATTCTTGCAACTTATAAAAATTGCCTTGGTGATGCTATTTTTTCCATGGTTGTCGACAGCTTTTCGACTCATGTATTTATAAATTGCATCTTCAAGATTCTCACTCTCTTCGTTCTCAGATGGTAGATCACCGAGAATTTTAAAAATCATTCGACGTCGTCGTTCAACATTTTGCTGCACTGAGCGATAAGAGAGCTGAAAAAAAAAAAAAGCCCAGCAACCATTTCAAGAATGAGCGCAAATCTGACTGAACTAATGCACCTCCTATGCTGAAGGTACCTGATGATCACTTGTGTACCCGTATTGTTGATAAAGTTTGAAAGAGTCCTACCACAACGGTTAACATAAGTATTTTATGCTGTAGATCCTTGGAACCGCAGAACTCTGGCAGCCCCTCCAGTATTTTCAGGATTTCCTTTCCGTCTTTGTAGTACAGATTTCTAAATCTCCTGACCAGTTCTAATGTTTCCTCGCATGTAGCACGACACCTATTTTTGTCTTTGCTTTTTGCAATACCAAACGAATGTTCCTTTTTTGAGAATCTAAAAATTCAGAGACTGTTTCGACACCTTTGCAGTTAATCAAAAAATTCAACAGTTAATCCAACCGATCAATTGTTCTTTCATTTTCTTGCTCAGCCATTAATTGAATTTGTCTTTTGGTCTCATAGCATTCACTGTACAATTGCTCTATCTGTAATTAAAAATTTCAATGATATTAGATAGAATCGCTATAATTATTCATTGCTATGTGTAAGGACTCTCTGTTTAAAGTATTTAAATGAATTTTTGGACAATTTCACATGCTGAAAGACAGCGTTTCAATTTCAATGTTTGCCATTTTTCCATTCCAAATCTAAAGCGAAAAGAAAAAAACATTTAATTAATTTCTGTCAGTCAAAAAGTTCCATTAAAAAAAGAAAAAAAGTGAATTTGATTTGAAGCTTTTCACTTTCGCATCATCTTTAGCAAGCGAACATTGATCGACAAGCATCTGATAATGATGATGTGATTGCACAGTAGAATCTAAAATATATTTCAGATCGAAAAATCTATTTGATCAAGTTAAAATGTAACTAACATGAGCTTTCACTTCACTCAACAGAGACTTATCAAAAAAGTGCATCGGATCCTGAAATATTTTACTTCATGCAAGATTTCTACAGATTGAAATGATCGCTGTCATTTTTTGTCGTCCTTTTTTGTGACATATATTTAGCTAAATATTAAATTATAATCACTTCACTTCTTTTTCAAAAATTGTGGCAAATAAATTTGATTAGCTTTATCACTGATACAGATATTCTCGCTTCATTCTTTGCATTTTTTTTTAAATTAATGATACCAAAATGCACAAATTTCTGAAATAAATCTTCGCAACTTTCAAATATTTGCAAAGTGGAAGAGATCAGAAATGGCAATGCTACAAGATGAGCTAAGCAATTCCAAGCTTATCTTTATTCATAACTTTCATTTCTTCATTTTTGACATTAGTTGACCTGTTTAAGTAAATATAACACGAATGTAACTGAGATAAGTTATGAAGATAACTTAGAATACTTGTGAAAATACATATGAAGTAGAGACGATTAAAACTCTTTTGATTTTGATGGTATCACTTTAACATAATGTGGAGGGATCTTTTGATATACTTTGACTGTAGGAAAAGAATTCGTCAATTTTAATCTACACGTTGAAACTGAATATTTTACGCAGGTTTCAGAAAGACAAGTCTGATTTTTGCGTGACTCACGTCATCAATGATTTTCATCTTTAAAAGCACAACACAACAAATTATTTAATTTTGCATTGTAATCGTCATCGCAATAAAATTAAAATGCAATTAATTACCATTGCGTTTCAAACTATTCATACTTCTTGCAGATCGCATTCCGCTGCGCGCAATACAGCGATTGTTGCAGCTGCAGCTGCTGTAACGGAGATCAATCAACGAGTGATGGCGTGAAATGCCGTTGTTTCCCGTTGATGTTGAATTATTCCGAGGATGAATCTTTGTTGAATAACCTCAAGAAAATGAAGTTGAAATTTACAGAAAAATGTGAATAAATGAAAACTCATCACTACATGCCACTACTAGTAGTACGCTTTCAGGAAAATTCAGGAACAAACGGAATTTACCTTTCTTTATTCGACCACTTCTTTTCCGATTGTTTCGTTGAATACCCTACAAAGATAAATGAAACTGTGTTCTTTTAAAATTATTCACCACCACCTTTCTTCTTATCTCACTTTTCATCTTTTCCACTTATTAATTGAATTAATTTGTTTATTTCAAATGACTCAATGTAAAATTAGACAAAGTAGATGAGATTTCAATAAGAAATGTGTAATACTTTTCCAAAAGATGATGCAATAGCAATTTGTGAGTTGGACGAGGCTAAGTCAGTGCACGAAGGATCTGTTTCGGTGTCAGTGTCTGAAGTCGATAGAAGCAAGCGATATTGTGCTAAATCTAAAAAATTGATAAAATGAGTCTTTTGGGGGTCAATGCTGATAGCAGGTCAATGCTGATAGCACAGCTGGTCAGTCGAGAAATGTTTCTCAGTAAAGTTTCAGCTATTGTTGACAGTAAAGGTAAGAATTAAGCTGATCGCATTTCTTGTATTAATGCAATTTATCACAGAAATGCAAATTACAAACGAAAACAAACCCTCTTCGTGACTCGTTTCACTAATGTATTTGTTGCTATTTGGACATTCATTGAACTGATGATGATTCACTGAGCTTAAGCTTAAAAGCTGAAAATTGATGAGTCATTTTAAAAGTATTCAATATATTGTGTGTGATAAGCAAAACGAAAAGTTCGGTGATAACTGATAGCAAATTTGATAGTATATACTTTAGCTTCCAGCTAGAAAAAGTCTTCATTCACCTACCCTATGATATGCCATGTTGAATGTTGCTATCACATCAGCTACTATCGGATCCGTTTCCGAAATAGCATAATCGGATGGAGCCGAGTTCATCAGCACTTTGTACAATTTGATCAGCGTTTGATCACAAATTACTCTTCGACAAACAATGCGCAATAAGCTGCTTAACTATAGATATCAAAATGGATCATTTGTGATGCTATTTTGTTTCAGAAAAGACTAGAAAATTTGCAATAAAAGGAAACGAAAGATACGTTCGGATTAATGAGAGATTCGATGAGGAAATTCTTGATTCTGTTATTGTTGCTTATTCGGAGATACACCTGTGATAAGTGCAAATTCACGTGACGATGATGACTTGCAGCACTGGATGCTTCTGCAACTGGCAAGGTAATCTTTCCTTCGACTCCTCGTCATCCCTTTCTCATTACGTCAACACTTCACTCACTTACTTCTTCAAATTTATAGCCAAACGAATAGGACAGTCATTAAAGTAAAGTTTGAAAGTAATTATTGTTGATAATTACAAACCGTTGATTTATTTATTATGAGATACAACGAACGTACCGAACTCGCTTTTACTAATCTTCAGATTGCGAAGTTGTTTTGCGACCTGTTTCAGCTTTTTCTGATGGTTTGACACCTCGAGACATATCGCATCCAGCAATCTGAATGAGCAATTAGATGAGATATATATCAATAGAATTTCTTCCTTTAAAGAAATCTCATTTCATAAATTACCGGATGAGTCCCTCGGAGCAATTGATGAGACCGTGACATCCCAGAGCTTCTAAACTATCAGCTAAACAAAGTTCGACATCTCGAGCTGCTTCCAAAATAGATGGACTATCGAGCTTAATTGCTGCCAAAATCGATCGGATGTGTTTTTCCCAGTTCTGAATTATATATCTTCCAAAAGTTGCCTTCACTTTTCTTCCTTCTCTTTTTGATTTAAAGTCTATCACTACCTCATAAGTTGTCGAAGAGAGATTGCTTCTCGATTGACTGACTCTGGTAATTTCCATCTTTGAGATTCTAACTTGTGGGATATTCTTTTGTTCATTATATGCGATCCACCACAACAAATTATTGAATAACTCGTTGTAGTGCAGCGCAGCTTTGCTGCTATTAGTTTTGTGGAACTTAAATTGTTGAAATGTTTAACTGAATAACTAAATAAGCAATGAACGTTACGGAAAAGAAAAGTACAATGAGAATTTCTTAAAAGTTATACAAAACAGATAACTGAAACTTTTACCTTTAAACTTTTTGTAATGATAATATCCAGAAGAGGTAAAGTGCTTGGTATCATCCGGATTAATTGTTTTACGGGCGGAAAAAGTTTCAGGAAATCTCGGAAATTTTCGACATTGCTAGTTTTAAGCTGTAAGGAACTTTTGGTACTTTTCAAGTGCTTTAATATATTTCTAGCAATCCTAATAATGGAGAGACCGAAGAATTCTTACTTTCTAAATGGTTTAAAGCTTTAAGCACCTGAATTATAAGCTGATGAATAATTTGATGATTAAGGATTGAATTGTTGCAGCTATAATAATTGATCATCGATGCTGATCATCATTCGAAGAGTACCATCCACGAATATCTAAATTTGTATTTAAGAAATGAATTAAAATTTCTGCATCAGAAATAGTTGAGTGCTGTTGAATGCTTCATATTGCGACATGTTTGGAATAAATATGTGTTATCAATTCATTACTGTTTATCTTGGAATGAAGGAATAAGGCTAGACAAGAAAGATCGAGGCACTTTACAGCAATCGCAATGTACTTGGCCGGAATTGCCGACATGGCCATATGCAGTTTTGTGGTAGGCAAAGAAATTTACAAAGGGAAAGGGTTGGAGTTGAGTGCAACTAAAGTAGCTTTTGGGTTTATTATTCAGAAATACATTGATTTCTGCTAGCAAAAAAATATAAAATGTTTAATAGATGGTGGTAAGGTAATTTGAAAATGAGCAGAAATTCTAGCCAATCAAGGTGTGATGTCTACCTGTGACATAAGTTCAGGCAAACCTGAAACCCATCCGTAATTCTCTTTGCAACAGGATTTGAGTCTGATAACTATCAGCAAGTTGAGCCAAGCAGTTGAAAATAATCAGCAAATGATACTTATTAAGTATTGGGGAAGATATGAGGAAAAATAAATATTAAAAATGGTGAAAACTTGCAGTGCGAAATGTCCCATTAGTTGACAATCGTAGTGGATCATAAATGACGTCAAAGGATGACTGGGGTTCTTAGCTGATGGCCAACAATTAATTAGAGCCTAATGAATCCCGACGAGTCCAATTACTCCAAGGTAAGTACATTCAGCAAATAGATGACCGTAATGCTTGCAGTGGCAAACATTAATTTACTATTTGGACGTTGATTAAATCAATGCTTCAAGTAATTTACCGCGGTATTCATCTTACCTTTAGCTAATTGATTACTATTCTGCAATCACCTGAACAACTCTCTGTACACAGAGACGAAGAGAATACTTTCCAAGAGTTAATCAAAGCTCAAAGCATCAGTTAAACAAAATTATTTCTTACTGGTAAAATGTAGGCTCGAATGCTCGTTTTGCTAACAAAATAATTGGAGAAAATTTTGAAGTGAAAGAAATGTTCATTCGGGTTTGGTTCACGATGAACTGGTCCTAGTCGGCGGTAAAAAACAAAACATTTAAAATTACATACAAATGCTAACATTTCTCATTCGTGATAAGTCAATCACCAAATATTGTTGTATTTGTAATTAATCCATGTTTACATCTTTAAGTCATCATGCTAAATTATGCTCTCTTTTCTAACACAACAAAACTAATCTTATTACCAATCTTTGTTTTACATTCATGGGAATATTTTCTTCCGGATTTCCGGTTGTCAAATTAGTTCTATATATAAACTAATCAACCTTCCCTGCTAACCATTATTCATTCTACGTTTTTGGATAGTTTTTTGGGGGTACTTTGATAATATTTTAGTGTTTTATAATAATATTATATCCTTTATAATTATATTACATCTATTCAAGGGACAACGTACTTTGAATTTTTCCCTGATGATTCTTGCTATCGTTTCATATTGTTGGCAGAATACTTCCATTGTGGATTTTTGATCTAACAGAGTATTTCATCGAGGAGTTCCTCGAGATTTGCTTTTACGAGATTTGCTCTGACAATCATGCTGACAGACATACCTCACCTTCGGGCACCAAAAATTTCTGTCGTGGAATTTAGTAACTGTTAGATAATTTATTTTGTCGAGTTCAAACTTGGATAATTAAACAAAACAAATCAACATTATAGCAATGCACAACGCATAGATATAATACAATTATAAAGAATATAATAAAATCAGAAAACACTATCAAAATACCCCCAAAACTATTCAAAAACTTAGAATAAGTAATGGTTAGTGGAGTAGGTTAGTTAGTTTATATAAAGAACTAATTTGACAACTGGAAATCTGGAAAATTAGTCTTAGTTTGATAAATTTCGTTAGATCTACTACAATGATTGTTTCAGCAATGATCTGTACTGCGATGTAATTCACAGAATTTATAACTATTTAGCAATTAATTAGCTAGATTAATTAGATAACATAATTTTCCATTATTTTCACTTTGTTTTATTCCTTACGCTTCATTCCTACTTTGAGGAAGGTTCCTAAGAAAACTGGAAGCTTAAGAGAAACTGCAAAGTTTCACATTTGAACTTTCACCTCTATTTAATTTCTACATTGCAGTGCAGTTAATTAATTTGATAATATTTCCTGACCTTTATTTAAAGTATGAACCTAACAACTCTAGATGGATGCATAAATGTAACGATGATTTAGAACTGATGCAAATCACCTGCACAGGAAAAGAAGAATTTTCAAGACTGAATAAGTTTGCAAATTAGTGCAATTAGAAGAAAAGTGTAGAAGGTAAGGTAAATATAATTAACAGTAAACAGTAGTCAAGGACAACTGTCCAATACCATTCAGTTTATAATCAATCGACTCTGATATAAAAGTTATGGAAGTAAACTGAAAATAAATTAAATAAGTTTATTGATTATTTGGTGATTAATTAGTTGTGAGCAAAATTAGATAACATTTTGAAAGATTAATTTAGTGATTAATTTGTGACTCTTTCATAGGAATTTCATAGCGACAAGCGTTTACTTTTGAGTTTCCTTAAGATTTAATAAGGAAAAGCTTATATTGTTTACTTTTGCAAATCACCCAAAACAGTGCACAAATTGGTAAGACACATCCACTCATCAACTTTTAAAATTGGTTTAACAAATGCTTAGCGCGTACCTGTGCACTCGAAATTGAATGATGAAGAGATTCTCGAAGAGAGAGTAGAAGTCGTTACGGTAGTTTCCACTCAGTAAACCACAAAGGTTCACGTGTCAACGTAAACGTCCATCACACCAACTTCTAACTTTTCTTTCTATAGCTAAGCTCTAACCTTCTAAAGAATTGCTCATTCTCTCTTTTCAAGCTGAAAAATTCAAATATCTTTTGCTAACGAATTCTTTTACCTGAGCTAAAGAAAACGCAGGTAGGTATATCTGCTAGTTGTTTACATTTGACATACGTATGCAAAAATTTGAGTTGTTCCTTCCTCAAAATATTCTTGCAGAGCAAATCACAAATGAAGGAAATGTTGCACAGATCATCGCTTACAAGACAGTTCACCAGTTCAGTGAATAGTTCAGCAGCTCAGCAGCTCAGCAGCTCAGTGGACAGCTTTTGATTCAGAGGTTCCCTCCACATCGTTATCTAAAGCATTCGAAAATATGCTGAATGGAAGGATGTGACAGAGACTTTTGTGGTGTTTACCGTAGGTTTATCAACTGATAAGGAAATGTCGAGTAATTGCCTCTCTACCTGCTTATCAACGTTGCTTACTCTTTCATTTATGATTTCGTTTACTTATTTAGCTCAGCTGATGATATTTCTTTGTATTTTATGGTCGAATTTTTTATATTTTAATTAACTTTTATGTTTTAATTAATGTCTTTGATCGTTACGAGAATAAAAACAATAAAGCTAATGGCATGGTTGCATTTAATGTAGAAAATTTGTTCGCTCTTGAAGTCAAATAACACTCCTTGTTATTCTGTAACCGATACAGCAAGTTAAGTCAGAAGACCGATTGATGGAATCCGGAAATGTTACCATTACATGTTGGATTGGTTGCATTTCCAGAATTAGAATTAATATAAAGGATAATTTATTATAGCAGAAAATTGATAACATGCCAATGTTTGCTTGTTTGACATCGAATTGCATGTGCTTGCATCACATGCTAAAACTTGCATTGCGATTGTTAAGGATGTTTCTTTTTACTGTCACATTTAAAAGAGTACTTTAGAACTTCTCAGAGGATTAATCACACTTTGGGCTCTGTTGGGTTCAACTTTCCGCTGCAAAGTATTTTTGTTGGAAGAAATGTTGTGAATGCTTAACTATCAGTTGAGAAAAGATGAAATTGCACTCTGATTTGCGACAATAGCGCTTCATGCTTTCCTGTTCGATCTATTAATATGGCATCTTTATCAGTTTAATGTGTGTTAAGGAAATATTAAAATAAAACTCTAAGCAAAGTTTGCACTGTTTTATAATAATTTCTTTAGCAATTGGTTTGGAATTTCTCACGTTAAATCAATAGCGGTTTTGGTTAAACGTACGTCATCTCATCCGTTTCTGTTGTTGTTGTTGTTGTTTCCTTAGTTCCGGTTTTAGGAAAAGCGGCTGAGAAACGAGTCGTTAGACATTTAAGTCATTCGTCACTTGCTGTTTCACAACAATAAAAAGCTATCGGGAGCTAATTGTATGAGTAAGCTAATTGTTGAGGAATTCTGAAAGTTCGATCTTAACTTCTTCAGTTAAAAGACAAATCCGTTTTTTTTCCTTCTCTAGAATAAGATAAGCAAACTGTAGATATAAGTGTGACCACTATAGGTAAAGCTGAAAAACTTAGTGGAAAAAAAAATTGAAAACAAAAGTAATAATAAAAAATTTAGGTTTCACATAAAAGTAAGTAATTGCGGTTGGAAAAGTTTACTTATTGGTTAGTTGAGTAAATTTCATGAAGAGAAATGCAACTTTCAGATTATGGCCTACGATTACTGCTCCTTTACCGCCACAAGGGAAAGCTGTTCACTGAAAATGATTGTTTATTGCAGGTTTCTGCAGATGGTTGGTTGTTTTCTGCAGCATTCTGCATTTCTGGTTTGCTTAGAAAAGTGGTTTTTCAGCATGAAAAGGTAGAGAAGATCGGGCATAGATTGTTCTTGCATAAATTGCAGAAAACTTTTTAGCATTTTATGATTTTAACAGTTTGTTTTGAAATTTTAAAAATTTGGCTCAATTCCTGATTTGTTCACTCTTTTCAGGGACTGGCGGTACTCGTACTGCTTTCCTTGGCCTCTGTGCCTTGGCTACTAATTAACGGCTTACTATGGCTCATTGCTCTGGCGGCGCTCAGTGGCAGTATACTTGCGCAATTGACCTATCACATTCCTTCATTGCGAGTAGTGCAAACAGAATATGTGAGTTTAACAAAGAAATGCCAACACTGCTAGACCAGTCAACTCTAAATCATTTCGATGACAGTCTGCGATTTTCTTTCTTTTGCGCTTATTGTTTGCTAGGACAGAATTCAAAATGGCCTGCGTCCTTCTACCTCTGATTTTGGCTACTTTTAATTGCCTTCTTGGCTACTTTGCTTCTTCACTTACTTTTGTCATCTTATAGCATAATGAAGATTAAAAAACGCTGTCACATATTTTTATTTCTAATTTCTCTCTCTATTCACCTTCACTGTCACTATTCACATTCGTGACTCTACGGAAACCGAAGCCTTCATTATTTGGGATTCTATAACTGCCGAAAATCTTTCATCAAAAAATTCTTAATTTTGGATCAATCGATCAAATTGATTACACTTATAACTCATATCATTTTCGTATCATAGAGGATAAGAAATCCTCATAGTATGTTTGAAAGTATTTTGCGTCCGAAACATATATTGAAGAAAAGCAGTTTTCCTGAAGTTACATAATTCAGCAATCGGAAATATTGAAAAGCTTTCAACTTTCTCGGAAAATTTTCAAACTCAATTTGAGCATTCCATAAAATTGAAATAGTTGTTGTTTTAAAATATTGACAGTATTTTGAAATTTCCAGCTATACAGATATGATTTTTTGATGACCATTTGCGCCTCTGTGTGTGTCCCTATTTCTACATATTGCACTGTGTATGAGACGGAGGATGACAGTTCGTCCACATTGTACATCGCTTTAGCGGTAAGCTTATACATATATTTCTAATTCATGCAGTACAGTTAAATTAAACCTAAAAAAGTACATTTTTGATTTATTATGATTTTATGAACGAATTATATCGTAAATTTTAGCTTCTTTGCATACTCCTGGCGACATCTTTTCTGCTCAGTCTAATCATTCAGTATGACTTTGACTCTGTAAGTTAATGACGTTCCATTTTCGCTTTTCTAATAAATTTTATTCAAGGCTTATCCATTTGATACTCTCACGCACAGTGTGACTGATTGGATGCCTACGCAACCCTTAAGTACCACTCACGTACTGATCAGACCTTAGATCTACGAGGTGTGCACCTCATTTATTTACTTCATCTTTCGCTCCTTTATCAGAATTTAGACCACCGAGTTCGAACTAACTTATTGCTACACTAAATTTGATCCATCTAAGCACTGTAACATTTGTATTGCAGTTTGACAGAAGTTCAACAAATAAAGCTTCAAAATTGACGGTAAGATCAAATGAACATCGTCCTCTGCTCCAAACTTACGTCGGTGGTTACGGTTACTATCAGGCATTTTGATGACATTATCAAGTTGACAGCTACGCTGAGGAAAAGTGAAGAACTGCTTGGAAGCTTTGCAAGTTGGTGTCACACTGACAGCGTTACTTTTCGATATATCTACCTTGTTCAACAATGGCATTTAATTCAAATCTTGTCTTAATTGCACCTCGTTTACTGTTTGTGTGTACTTCAGATTGACCGGTTGATTAGTATTCCAGCACAAAACCAGTCATGTTCCGGATAATTTCATGAAATGAAATCTTGCATAAAATTTTAACTCTCTGTACGGTACTTCATATGCAAAGCTTTCACTAGGAAGAAAAACTTATAGCAAAATGAGCATTCTTTGAAATAATGGAGAAAAATTGCTGAAATAATAATAAAGTAACACCGAATTTCAAGGATAAAAATACGTTGAGATTCGCCAGAGTCTTTCATATTAAACATTCAATATTTAAAGTGTGACGAGGAAAAATCTCTCAACACACCTTCAAATAGTAATTTTCGCCACAGTTTCTCGTTGTCTCGACTCCAAGCTCTAAAATTCATAATTAAATTTAGCTAATTAATGATTACATTCTTTGCTGATTATTGGAAGTCAAACGAGATTTCTGATCTATTTATTTCGTTAACCAGGAGGGAAAGAGAAAAGTAAAGTCTGACAATTACAGCAATTGTTGACTTCAACATGCAACAGCAATGATCCAAGTTCTCTTCTTAATAAATTTATAATCATTGACAGTAAACAAATATTGCGATGCTACTCGAATATCATCTCGTAGTGATGGAAAAACTATTGCAAAAGCAGAGACGAGAGTCACTTTTTTGAGGATGGAGTTTTGATTTTTTGATCTTGTTTTGAAGCAAGTATTCGCCATTTGGGTACTATCACTATATCACCAGCTCGCAACACTTCCTTAGAAACAATAGGTTCGGATCACGACAAATAGACTCATTCGAAATGACGAACTGGCTGTAAAGCAGTCCGATCCCGACAAAGACATCGAGAATAAGCAAGGAGAAAGTTGAAGTGGGTTTAACTAACAGGTGGTAACGTAACTGAACTGAATCAGGTGAATTGGATAGGTAAATGGACAGCATGACAGAGAATAGGAATAACGCTGATTTGCGATATACCTTTGATGTGGCAGAAGTTGACCCAAAAAGACAATCAATGTCCTGGTCACACCTTTTTAGCCGCAGCAAACGTTGTTATTCGTGTTTGGAAAATGAGGTCACCTAATTGGAGATTGAAAACGGGCAGATGCTTTTGCTGTGAAGGTCACTGTCGCCTTAATCTACTTCTCTCGATAGTAATAACCTGTTTGCACTGTTTTCATCAAACAATCAAAATTTCTCGAGAAAAATATGTCAATAGCAGCAAAGCAGCCGAGCATCAGTAAATAAAAAAAATGATGATACTTGAGTGTCACAACTGCTCTGTCCAATCACTACTTTTGAAACTTCAACCTTTCCATTGATGTATCCATTCCAGTTAGACGGAAGGAAGCAATGAGAAACCGGAATAGAGCAAGCAATAAGCTTTGCTGGGAAACAGGTTGCAGTTTTGTCTTCTGGAATTGCCAACTTTTTCATCTTCAAAATTTGCAAAGTATTAGTATGCACGGGAAAACTCGCACGCAATATGCCCATGTATGCAGATTTGCAGATGCCCTCCGGGTATATCCCAAGTGCCGGTGTGCCATCAGTGCATCAGGTTTTACAACACAGATGGTCATCAGTAGATCATCACCCGGAGGGCTCGTGGTCAGAGATCTGTTAGCCGGTAGTGGAATGACGGCTGTGGTAGCGTAGCAATCAAGTATCACTTTCGATATCAGAATAGCTCCTCCTTCTCAACTCTTTATGTCTGATTCAAAGTTTATTTTTCGGGTAATCCGCTTAAATTTCTTTGCAGCGGAGAGTAATAATCATGATGATGTGAATTTCTCCTACCTACTCTTCTTCTTCCTGCACTGATTCACAAATTATTCGAAATCAATTCAATCACCGTTCCATGATCTGATTTCCTTGCAGCGGTTTATCAAAATTAGCATTTCTAATAGCTGTCCCTTTCAGTCGTTTCTCTCTATATATTTTAAACCAGTTAACTTACCAGTTCTGACAGCTCCTCTTTCAACAAAAGCGCTTCTCGTAGCGATGCTTCTTCCGGCTATTATCAGACTAGAACTTCTCTGAAAATTTCTCCGCCTTTATAAAAGGAATGACCAGCAGCAGCAGGACATCACACAGTCATTGTCAACCAGTTGACACTCTCCTGGTAGAACTTTCATCGTTTTCCTTTTCACTTACTTTCATATATTGATGTCTCGATGTTACTCTCGACTCTTCTTAGGCAAATATACTTTCGAGCTATAATATTTGTTGTTGTTGAACATTTCTTTGGAGATAAATGGCTCTTTGAATGTTTATCTGAAGAAAATTCAAATAGTTTTTTCAACTGTTTCTCATACTTTATAATTTTGTTCATCTAAGTAGCAAAATTTCACCAGCAAACATCACATCCGGCAGAGTGCCCTAAAACTTTTGCTTATAACATTTTTCATTAATTATAAGAGTGCCATTTATAGCGGCTACCAGTTATCCGGCAGCCTCTTATTCTGATTCACTTACTTCTTTACTTCAGTCCATTGAAGAAGGTAAGTTAGCAAGAAATTGGTATGGAATAGTATCCTTTATCATAATTCAAAAGATTCACCGCTAAACTTCAAGAAACACTTCCATACTCTTCCGACTAGCAGTGATGTCGAAAAGATTGTATCAAATTTTAATCTGCAATTTGCTTTGTTTTTCTCCTCAAATGCAATTGCTAAATTTCGGCCTAATAAGGGAATCAATCTTTCTCTTTCTTCATTTCAGTTCTATTTAATCACATTTTAATTGTAACAGACTAATTGGTAAAAACCACTGAAACCGCCTATCAACCGATTAACTATCATCGAAAAGTGCAGTTGCATGCATAGATCAGTTCATTTTCATTCTCGAATCTTGGTCACTGGTTTGATAAGAAAAGTAAGAGAGAGAACAACTAGTAGTATATATAGCAGTGCCAAAATTAGATTATGCATAATGAAATTCAGAAAACTGAAAGAGTCCATGAAGAAAGTGAAAGAAGAGTGAGAGTGAGAGGTGGTAATAAAGTCAGTCTTTTAAATGTATTTCATCTAATTTAAAATAAATCATCTTCATCATAGATGTCAGCAATTCATGTTGCTGTGCACTAATAACAGGCCTTTAAAGATTCTTGTCCATCTATCTCTACGGACATTTCCCACCCAAAACTCTGCAGGTTTTACAATAATGCGAGAATCTGGTTTTCGAGTACATCCTTCAGCGGCACTTTCGTCCTTTTATTAAAAAGGCGGAATTTTTTTTTTGTTTCAATTTAGACTTCTTTTGCTGTCAAAGAAATTGCTCATTTTCACACATCCGACATATTCAGAAAGAAACGGACGGACTATCAAAAATAACATCTAAATCTCAAAATGATTTTTTCCTTTTACGACATGTTTCCGATGACATAACTAACCCTGCGATAACCTGACCTGACTCAATCTGATTCGACCCTTTCTGACATATCGCTCTATTGATCACTTCTATTGCAGTTATCTACTCCTTTCTGACCTTTAAAAAAAAAAAAAACAAACAAACAAAATGTGATTCGCGTGATTCGTTGAGTTTCAGTGCAATTTTTTTAACAAAAGAAATTAAAAAAGATTGAGATAGTTTTACTCATTAAATGATGGTGACATTTCAAGAGTCATTCTTTCTTCAGATTCATCTAGACAGATACGAATACTGTCAAGGAGACTTTGATCTGATCCTTCTTTTTTAGTTAATTTAAATTTCTGGAGGAACTCTGTTGCATGCTTTGCAATCAGCATTGAGTTGTTTGCACTACTGTCATGTTTATTTATTAGTTTATTTTACTCTCAGTTCTATTCCGCAATTTTCCGGAGCAAAATAAAAACGAGCTTATAATAATAAAAAGCAAGACGATATTCTAGTTCATGTGCATAAGCATTACTTCCTTTTCCACTACCTGGTTGACATTGACAACTTTTATCCAAGTGACCCAATAGGAACTCTGTCCTCTCTCTCTCTCTCCTTAAATTAATTCGACTTAAACTGTCTTGTCTATGCTTAACTTCCGGATCGTATTGGCTGGTATGCATGAAAATGAAAAGCAGAAGGAAGAGGAAAGTATATTAACAAATTCCGACAGAACCTTAACTTTCCATGTCATGTACTTATGGCAAATCCTGTTTACCGGATAATTGAGTTCAGCGATGTTCACTCCTCTGCTCTGACCGAATACTTTCTGGATATTTTCAAATTTGTAGTTATTTTTAAGGGGCAATGCTATTATTCATTTTGGTCACCACAGGTGTTTGGACTTCCCTTCAAGCAGCTCTTACTGAATTCAGTGGTTTTCACTGCATGATGCGTCACTCAATGCGAATGAATCGGATAGTGCACGGTAAACCGCAGGAAACGTCGCCACCATTCGAATTTCACTTTATGGATGCTAAAGGACGTGAAGTACGGTACTATGAGCCAGGAAAGATTTATACCAGTAAGTAGTATAAATGAAATTTGCGTGTCAATTTAATTCAAAGGTCAAAGAGCAAACGAATTGAATCGAAAATAAGCAAATAATCAGAAATTATTTCCATTGCAGTTCGTCTGATTGGCTTTGCACATTTTCGTGGCTTACTGCTACAAGGGCGGCTAGCGAACGAAAATGGTTTTTTGCTCGGTTCTTTGAAAGGGGGTCGTTTCATCGAGAATGAAAGCTGGGAAACATTCGGGATTCGGATTCAGGACTGCGATCCGCATGGTTCAGGTTTGCAGGATTCAGTGACGCATAGCGATGATTCGCAGAAATTCATTGTACAGCTGGAATGGACTACTGACAAAGATATTGGTGCCGTCCAATTCATGTAGCTTTTCACATTGCTTTTTGCAACTGTAGCAAAATCTTTAATCCAGTTCTAACTCTCAAACTTTTGTTTTGATTGAATTTGCATTGGGTGAGAAAGATACCCAAGGGTAATTCAATGGAAATGCCAATTGCATTACAGTCACAAAATAACCTTTCAACTTTGAACTTGCATAGAAAGTTAGCATCTCGCATTTTGTCCATTTTAAATTGGAAAAAAAAATGAATGAGTAAGAATCGACATGAGAAGTGCAATTGTAGTTAATTTTCGATTTAAGTTTTTATTTAAAACACTATGAATGAACTGATACTGCCAGGTTAACGATCGCTGAGGAAGATAAAATTTATTGGGAGAGATGGCAACCGGAAAGTGGCTTCATCATTCCTATCACTTGGAAAAGAAAGCAAATCAATTTTATCGATGATAAGAAAGTGGCTGTAAAACTTTCTGGTCTCTTTTATGCTTCAAACCAGATTAAATTGACAATTTTACTTAAATTTTTATTTTTCTTTTCTAAATAATTTATTTGAAATTTCTGAACAGATATGTCTGAGAAAAAAAAAAAAGCATTTCTTATTTGATCCACGAAAGAAGTGAAAGAGAGTAAGTTTTGTCCCGTTGAAGTTACCCTGCCTCCTTCATTGGGCAACTTTTTGAAGCAAGGCTTGTGTTAGGTAAAGTCTTTGGTATTTTCACCTTTTTTTCAAACGATTACTTATGGGTTTTCCAGAGAAAAATTTTGCAATGTTACTTCTATCTTTTGTAGCTAAGAAGGGAAAACTTGTTGAATCTCCGAAGAACAGCCATCACTACAAACGAGTTGTGTCCGCTGCGGAAAATACTGGAAATTTTACAATTATCGACGGAAAAGCCAGTAGTATTCAATACACAATCTATGAAAAGCATATGCTTCAAAGGTAAAAATTCTTGGAGAGAAATGGAGAGAGAGAGAGAGTATTCGCTTTATTTTCATCAGCTCAGAGATCATCTTCGACTTCCTGAATGTTGTTGGTTCCGTCCTAAAAATGTAAAAATATTATCTCGGACACATCAAAGTGCCAACTCTAACTCCAATCTAAGCCGATTAGTTGTCTAAATTTATGCTTTAAAGACCGTCGATTCCGGAAACATTGCGAGATTTGGCTTATCGTCATGAAAATGAAGTTGAAGAAGAAATGAACGAGAAAGAGCCGTCAACTCATATACCGTTCAATGCTCCCTTAGAGGAATCTGGTAATCCCACACCGACAAGATTTCCGTTGACCCGCACCTCTGTACCGTGGAAGCCACAGACTGAAAAGTTGGATGGGTTTGAACATGTTTATGAGGGTCGCTTCCCGAAAATCTTTATGGGAAATGTGCCGACCAAAACAAAACTGAAAATGACGACAGTTACCGGAATGGGTAAGTTCGCATCACCATCTATCTATCTGACCAATATCGAGTTTAGACTTATGGCTGAGATGCATCCGTCTGAAAATTTATACAGGATGTTGACAAGCAGTGATTAAAATGCTTTTCAGATAAATGCATCGAGAACCCGTGCGAAAACGGCGGAAGATGTCGTTTGGACACTGGCGCAGAAGTGGGCTTTACTTGCTCCTGCAAGGAAGGATGGACTGGTCCGCTGTGCCAAAGTTGGAATTTATCCTTTCTTTCCTCCTATTTAATAGCCAAGCTCAGTGGTCACTTTCCGGATCATTTCTACGTGTAGAGCACACAATCTTCCGGAACAGTATTATGCCCCTGCAAATATTATTCCAAATGAATAAAAATTCCATCAACTTCAATTCCTTAATTTAATTCACTTCAGCGAAAGATCATTGTGTCGGACATAGCTGCGTATCGGGG